ATATATATATATATATAAATCCTCTCCTCTTTCAAATGCTATCAATGACACAGCAGTATTCTAGTACAAGTGTTCAGTAACTTTGGGTGGGTCTACTTCTACAATTGTTTAACTGTATGTATTGCACAGTACTTTAAAATTTTGTTCTTAATTATAAATATTAAATTAAGATGTCTTTTTGTCACCGATTAATAACAATAAATCATCAAACAAAATGTACATATGTCTTATTACTATAAATAAATAGATATAAAATAGTAGTGATCCAATACTGTGAGCACAACAGTAAGTTTAGGTCGTCACTCCATAAGCAAATAAATTAATATATAAATAAATCTTAGGTAGTAATAATTGATATGTCTTAACAAGTCATCTGCTAAATTAACTGGTTATCACAGATAAACTTTGTAAATTATACAAAATTTAGTTTTACTTTGTTTTTTATCCAATTTAAGGGAAGGCCGATCACGCTGATGGGCAGATTGACCCAAATTTCAATGCAATTCTCCATGAAATCTTTGTTTCGATTATCACGATGATTTTTTAGTTAAAAAGACTTTTTAAAAATTTCATAAGCTAGTGCCACTGATCAATACAATTTCTTTCTAACCATGCATTCCTTGATCAGTTAGAGCCACTCCCCAAAACATATTGGGTATGACATCCTTATGTACCTAGAACACTGCTCTTCCATTATAGCCGACTAAGAGATTTTTGACTCGTGTGAGATTCCGAGGTAGAGGCTGTCAAAACATATTTCTCTATGTTAGGTAATGACAATGTTCAGCAGACCATTTCATTTCAAGTTTTTTGCTGTTAGTCACAGTAAAACTACCAGGATTTTATAATCCCTGATAAATACCAATTATATGAGATCTCAAAATCAGGATCTTATGGAATTGGTCATTAGGAGCGCTTGGTTTGTGCATCACTCATCACTGATGGGATGCAGCCAACAGACATCAAACCAAGGCAGTACTACAGGGACATCGGTCATCATTCTTAACTTGTGTGATACTCCAATATGGCTCCACAAATACAAATCAACTTCATGGGATGAATCATGAAACTCATAAATAATTTCACATGTCATGTGAAATAGCAGTTAAAACTTAAAAATATTCACACCTAAAGAGTACAAAAAACAATTAGTGAATCAGCCATACAATGATTTGTTAATATAAAATGGGAAGCAATATCTGGTGCATCTCCTCATCACTTGATGCTGGCAGTTGCAATGTAGAAAGCACAACAGATCAAGCTGATACAAGCTGCTAACTATTAATAAATTGCACAAGCTAAAATTTAAACTTTAATACCTGTGGTTCAGCAGCATCATGCTCACATTAAATGATATTCTTCAGGTATGTTTCTGTGTGGTTTCAGCACAAATATCGTGACTGCCACTATCATACTATACTGTATAATTTTTAACTTGGCAGCAGCGCTGATCACTTAATGTATCTTATACATCACAAATGCATTTTAGAAAAATTGTTCTCTCAGGTAAAATGAACAGGAGCTGCCATATACCTATAGTGAGCATATATGCAACATTAATTCTAAGTTTGGCACAATACTGCAGTTTCAAAATCTTACCTAGTAATATGCACAGAGCACCACAAGGGTAAAAGTCCTAAACACACCATATTGACTAGTTTTATGGGCGGTAGTAAGCCTGGCTTACTAATTTTATACTTTATATTTAATAAAATGCATAAATCTAAGTGACCACACTTAGAAAACAATGTTGATGCTACAACCTAAGAGCCGCTGTTAAGACAGTACCATGACTAGAAGAGTGGAGGATTAAAATAGGGAGAGATGGAAATAAAGGAGGTAAGGTATCTCATTATATAAATATAACCATGGAGACTTAAGTGCCAAATAAAAAGCAAGATTCAGTTATAAGTTAGTTGCACATTACAGACCTAAATTATGAGGCCTCAGTAGCAATGGAAAACTTATGTAAAATGCACATGTTATCAATTCACATCTGCATTTATCCAATAATGTACTGCAGTTTTTTAAATGAAGATGCAGTGATGCATTTATATACTGTATTTATATATTTATCCACAGCTGGTACACCAAGTTTGCTCATAATAATTTGATCATTAAATTAAATTCAGACTAAATCCAAACTGTGTATGCTATGTGGGGACAGACAAATGCATTGATGTGTGGACAGTAACATGAATGGATACTATCATGGTAATATATAAATGAGAATGATAGTAAGTGTTAAGCTTCCATTTATTGGCCTCAAAAATATTGATAAAATGCCAGTTTCCATCATCTGCTATGGTGTACAGAGAGTGAACATAGCACTAAATGTCTCAGCCACCATGTGTTTAGCAGTTTTGTTTTTTGGTTTCACAACTCCCCCATTGACAGGTGGTGGTAAGGATTCCTTAGCTGCTATTTTTTTTTGTTTTTTAGCCTTAATCTGTTTACGAAAGAAACTATACGTACGAACAAGTGACGCTGCTTCACCTGTTCCATCACCTGTGAGGGCAATATTCTCTCCTTCAACAAAATTATGAGCTTCTTCATTACTGACACTATGTTCATTATGATCTTCATCATCACTGTAAGCTTTGAACTGATTTGGGTTATATTCATCAATGTCTGAGGCATTATCTGTACAATAATCTGTTGCAGATGGATCCTCGTCTCCATCATCAGGACCAACTGATGTACAGGATTCTGAACTTACCAGAGGAGCTGCATACATCCCTAAAGTTAACTTTCGCTCTAGAGTCTCTAAGTCAGTGTCCGTGTCAGTAGTAGATGGCACTATATCTCTTCTCAGTCTCAGGTACTGAGGTTTTGATGATACTTCAAAGCGAGTGAAGAGAGTGTCAGTAAGTAGTGTAACCTCGGGAGCATTCTTCTTGCTTTTAGAAGGCTCAAGTGGTTTAACGCCAGCAATTTTTGTAGTAGCTCTTGGAAGTGCAAGCACCCGCTCTCTGGGGGAAGCTGGAGAGAAGCGATTTGGAATAGTTTCATGACGACTGTGAGTTACTTGGCTTACAACAGGTTCAGAAAACTTAACATGATTACTAGACTTCGTATGAGGCACCGAGACTCTGGGGTTACTGGAGGCTATTGCCGAGTTGTTCTTTGAGGTCAGACTGTTCTTGGGAGAGAGTCTATTGTCTCTGCTATTAATCTTTCTAGAGTAGGTGGGAGTGTAAGTTTTACCTAAGCTCTTCATACTAGAATGATATTTAAATAATGAAGAACTAGGTACTCTAACATTCTCAGGAGGGTTTGGCATTGGATTCCAGTCTTTGTTTATCTTATTGAGAGGGGCCGTAACTGTCAAAGAGGATGTCTCTTCTTTTATGTTCCCTTTGTCTTGCACAGAAGAGGGATAAAGATTGGAAGTCTGAGGCAAACTGCTTCTAAGATGTTTTAATTCCGTTTTTCTGATTTCAGCAGAGAAAGGTGGTGGTATGACAGTAGAAGAAGTCTTCTCATTATCTCGACACGTTTTTACATCTTTGTCTTGTGGCTGGGTTATCTTATCACATGACACCATCTGAGAACTTTCACGGGGTATTACTCGAGTTTTCTGAGGTGATGGGGCACGTGACTCAGATGACAGTGGGCTGTTCTCTAAAATATTTTTGTTACTTCCTTTCTCTACATTCAACTTGTTCTTTTCCTGAAGAGATTTATGCCCCTTCTCTTGACTATTAGCTTGACTTACAAGAATACTCTGTGCAACTGGAATCTCTTTGATGTTAGTGCTGGATGTCTCATTATGTAAAGATGTTGAAGATGAATTTTTACAAGATCTGTTACGAGTAGCATTTATGCTATTAGGGAGGCGTGGGGAGTTATGAGGAGTGGGGGATTCTGGTGGGATTGAAGACCGAGGAAACCCAGAGCCAGTCCTACGACCTTGTGGGGAAGACACTGGCAGTGGGTTCATAGATGTATAAGTGGGTGTTGTCGTTAAGGACACCTGCGAGGAAAGAGGTAAAGTTCCATCTAGCGCCGGTTTAGATAATAAAGATTTACTTGACTGAGTATGTACAAAAGACAAGTCTATCACATTAGATGGAAGATATAAAGTTGACAGAGGTACATTAGGTGCAGATGAACAATTTGAATGCGGTGAGAGAGATCGAGAAACAGGCAAGTTTCGCAGGGATGCTGTTGATGTTGGCGACACTCCATGATTATATTTGTATGGAGGGTTTAGTGAACATACAGTGTGGGGGCGTGGAGGGGGTAAAGGAGACATAGAACGAGTTTTTCCAGTTTCTTTGCCGCTGACTTCACCATTATCTTCTCCCTGGGACACATGAGGTGAGCAGCAGTTAAGGCAAGACGTGTGAGCCGGGTGGGAGTGGTGCATCACTGAAGGCGAAGACACTCGATGACCAGCTAATGCAGGCAGGATATCTGTCATGTGGTGGGTCGTGCACTCCTCCACTATGGATGGGATAACTGGACTCAAGCATCGGAATACTCCGGATATACCCGATTCTAAGGTGCCAGAGTATATACCAGAGATGCCAGAGTCGAGTGTCCCAGAATAGTCTGGCGAATGAGCCTCATTGCAGCCGGCATCTTCACAGCCTTCACAGCTGCTGGGTGAAGTGCGACAACATCCGCTGTCTTCATTTGTTGGTGACGGTGACATTTTGAATTCATGAATGTGGTGAATAACAATTGGACTCTCCTTACTGGTCTGTGTTGCAAAAGATGAAGAAGAGACAGGTACAGGAGGAAGAGATATAGGTTGTTGTAAAGGTAAGGTTGAAGACAGAAAGTTAGTAGACAGCAATCCCTTAGGTTGGCGCAAAATTAGTAAATCAGATTCGCTTGCCCATTTCAAATTTCTCTTAAATAATTTCATCTTCCTATTGGGATCAAAACTTAAATATGCATCTAGGAAGGAGAAATTGGGGACAGCTGGTGGGGTAAGGCATTCTCCCCCCAGCTTGTGGTTGGGGAAGCATAAATTGCCCTTGGAATCCCACCTGTTCTCCAGAGTCAAAGAATTTTGGCGTTCCTGTAAGTCAGACACCAGAGTTTGAAGAACAGGTAGTTGTTCAGTGCTGCCACCTTCAGCTGCCCTCTGTTTCAACAAGCTGTTTTCGTGCTGCAGTCTCATCAGTTTTTCTCTGGAATTATATTATTGAATTAATACATTTATATACAGGAGAACTGTTGTGTTATACAAAGAGGTTATATGGAGATATGGGATAGTTATATGGAATAGTTTTCATGTTTTTATCTTTACAACTATGAATTCTAAGACTTGGGGGGGGCAGGGGGGTGGAGATGACTTGAACCATCCTTACATAGAGTACTACTGTACTGTATAGCTTACATCAATTAGAGTCAAATTCATTACCAGCTCCTCCTTTCAGTCTTCAAGAATGTGTACTAACAAAATGGGACACAGATGATACAACAATTCATGGGACACAGATGTTACACCAATGCATTACAAAGATATTAGGGCAGATTAGTTTTGTATATATATAAAAAAGTTTACAAAACAACATATAAGTACATATTTAAGACAATATTCTTTCCTGAGAGTTAAGAGGTAATAAAAACTACAAGTAATCTTTCTTAGCTAGAGAAATCTAATACATACATCAGCAATAGCTTATCCAAAAATCACTGCAAATAATGCTCTCCCTCACTCATGCAACTTGAATTATGTGAAGATTAAGTCCCTCAGTTTTTATCACCTTAAGACTAACCACCCAAATCCTAACCTAACCCCCCCAGGTATCAACAGGGTGTTTGATCATCAGGTGAAATAAGCTGGGGTGCCTTATCTTCATGCAATCCAATACATTATGTGAACTATTATCTTTCATGAAATAAGAACATGTACAGTATTAAATAAGGCTATATATTATGTGAAATAAGTATTTTATGTTTCTACCTGATTTCATGAGGGACAATTTCTAACAATTCAACATCTGAGAGGTCGGAGGGGGGACGGGAAGTAGTGTCCGGGGAGATGAGTGTTGATACGTGGCACTTGAGCTCCTCGATGTTCTCCTTCAGTGCATCTCTCTCCTTGGTGAGGCGCTGCAGATATATATATATAGAAATGTCTTATCAATACATTCACCTGTACAGTCAGTGTTCATTTAACATACATGAAGCATTACTGAACACCTGTACGTTACGCGGATATAGGATAAGTAAAAGTACGTTAAGTGGATGTTGGTTAAGCGGGTATAAAGTAAGTGGATGTAGGTTAAGTAAACATTGGCTATATGATGACATAATTGAAGACAACAACTCTAACAGGAGAAAACATAACTAACTATGGGAAGGATGTAAAGAAAAGACAAGAGGCTAAAAACAAAGAAAAAGCTATGGGTATGGAAAGACAAAATAACGAGAGACTGAATAGGTGAATGAAGGGCGCAAAGTGTTGAGGGAAGAACCTAACATGTACAATAACAGTCAGACATCGTTGATAAAATATAGTTATGGAATGTATGTAGCATCTGTACTGTAGTTATGAGCTTAAGAGAGAAACTTGAAAATATAGTTTTTGACTAGTTTTACAATTTCTGAATTAAATCGTCTCCAAAAGTTTCTTAGTTTCTTTAAAATTATTGAAAATGAAGGGTAACAAGAGTGAAAAAAAAGTGAATTAAGTTAAAATTATAATGAAAACTCCAAAAAAATTTATAACTTACATCTTTCTCTTGCATTATGGCTTCCATTTTCTCTATCAACTTCTTATTCTCAAAGATTTGACGATCAGTCTTCTTGGCTTCATCTGCCAGCTTCTGATGCAACTCACCAACTTGTTTCTTGTACAAGTCCAGCTGAGGACGCCAAGTACCACTCTTTTTCACCTCCTGTGAATATACAAGTAGCTATTAGAGATAAACTAAGAGAGAAGAGCTGAAAAGGTTATAAAATACAATAATTATACACACTGTCCAGTCATATACACTGTACATAACTACGTTACTGGATTCATGAATAAAGCTGACTAATATAACACCTAATGCTATAATTCAGGCATATCTATATATTGTACATAATGATATAATGATATTAACAATGCCTCATCACAATTTACAAAAGGCTTCCTTACAAGTGTTTACAGATTTTAAACAACTGATTTTGTTAATAATTTCTTTGACTTCACTCTGCCTCTAGCATTACAACAACTAATACTTAACATGATACATACCTCCTCTAATTCCATGTTGTGCTGGACATAATCTGAATTTTTCTCCTCAAGAATCCTGACTTGGCGTTTAAGGTCACTTAGCTCCTCCAACTTCTTCTTGTATGTTTCCATCGTTCCCTCGTACACTACAGCACGTTCACTCATCTCCCGCAGTGCATCGACCTAACGAAAATACAATGTGACGTGATGGCTCTTCCACACGGGAACAATAATTATCTATTCAATAAAATCTAACGGCAAATTGATACAAACTGACACCATGTTTGTATTTAGTGTTGTTATGCGCAACTGTAAAAATAAAATCACCGACATCAAAGGGTTTCACTGACGATATTTAAACAAAAAGATTACTTGTAAAATTATAAAAAACCTGAACCTCTTATGTCATCCACCAATAACAGACTGAGAAAGGAGAAAGGATGTACAGTATTTGAATAACAAACCTACAGTAACAAAAAAGAACACCTGGAGTCTACCTGTAAAAACAATATTTGATGAATCAGAAATAAAGCTGTAGAGTGTAGAGGCATGCAAACAATTCACAAACAGAGCAAAAAAAGAGTGAAAGAGTGAGTTTCTGAGGAGTGAGTGAGACAAGACATTGCTGAAGATGGACAGTAATAAGACTGATCAGAAATGGAAATAAATTAAGACCATGAACACCAAGAACAACAAGATAAAACCTGATGGGGAGGCTGAAGAAGGAAGAGGACAGAGAATGAGATACAAGGGAGGAGCCAGCACTCTAGATGTTAATGATAAGAGAACTTGGCTTTCCATTGTAGCGAGACCTTAATCTGAATCATTCCATTAATATATTGAAAACACAAGTCTGTCTAAAGGGTAGAATCAGCCATCTTAACTGGAGGGTCAGGAGAGAGATTTTATTTCCAAATCTATTCACCAAATAATTACAGAGAAAAAAATTATGCACAAATTTCACTTCACCTCGTCCTTGAGGGAGCGAGCCTCATCTGCCAGTCGCTGCAGTTCCTCGTTACGTGTCTGAATTTCCTGGTTCTCCCGTTCCAGTAAGTCGGCCTTTGTGCGGTATTCATCACGAGCTGCAGAGTAGAAGAGAAAGCAGTGGGTCAAACTTGGGATTGTGTGTGTTAAACTGTTTTACATGGATGGTACTGAGAAATAAATAAATAAATTGTTAGATTAGCTGGTAGTAGTTAACAATGGAAAAATACTTGGTGTCTTTGCCCTTTCTCGTATTTTTTTACAGGTCTTGTATTATCCTGGCTTACATGTTGTTTGAAGTGTCTCTGTACTGTACCTTGATCTTTCCCACAGAAAAAAATTCACAAAGACACGAGAAACAAGACTAAACATTTATATCTACGGTACTACTTTACTAACATCACTGATTAATAGATGGGGTGTGTGGTTTTTTTAATACTGTACGTCTCTCATTCTCTCTCTCCATCTGTTGCCATCCATTTACTCAGCTGTTATAAAACCCCTATAAACCAGTGAATACCTAACTTTCCTATTACTCAACATGCACTGCTGCTTCCTGGAGATCTCTCACTTCATGCAGTTTTCATCGATCATATATGTATACTTAGTGAGCTTCTGATATAATTAGGGGGTCCTCTCAAATTAATGTTTACTTTACGCTATATGAAACTTGACTCGTAGTACTGTATATATTTTGTATTTAATCTTTAAGCAGACAATCTCTTCCTAAACAATATTTCACAAACATCAAATGCTATTTTTTTTTATACTATTGCTCAATCTATCAAGACACATGATACACTCCATACACACTGAATGACTAAATTTTTTATTTAATTATTTTGTACTGCTTTAATAAATAAATCCTGTTATTGTTGCAGTGGGTGGGTAGGTGGGTCAGGGAGGGAGGAAATTTGGGGGGTAAATGCCACAGACTCATATACAGATGAATCACAATTATTAGACAAAACCACAAGCACTGATCTAATACCAGGTAATATATGAGGCACTCTGGGGGAGAACAAGACAAGAGATGTGTTTATTTTGCCATTATAATCTTACAACTTCACTTTGAACTTCATCTCTTTTTTCTGGCAGTTTTTTCTCTAGTCACTTATCTACCTCCTGCCAGAGCGTCTCATATTATACAATTCTAGTTTGACAACACTCACATGTCTCTAGTTTATACAGTTCATCCTGAAGGCCGTCTATCTGTTTTTTGAGATCCTTATAGCGTAAAGTTGAAGTACCCAGTTCTCCTCCCGTCTCCCAAGCATCTAGACGGTTCAAGAGTTTTTCATTCTCCGACGACAGTGCCGTCTTCTCCTCGTTTATTACTGATATCTGTTAAGGTATTACGAACATTTAGAATCATTGCCTAAGAAACTGAGACACTTAATGCAACACGAACAAACTTACCACTAATTTTGTAGTTTTTCTTCAAGGATCTACAGAGATTTTTATTTAATTTTGAGCAGTTTTATAAATTTACAGCCATTTAAATACATAAACCTCTATTACCCATATACCACCACTTAATATTTCATATACAGTACTGTATACTGTACTGTAAATTATTCTTTTACTGTACAACCATTAGATCCAACTCAAGGTAATGCTTCAAGAAATACTGTACACAAACATGGCTAATGGTCTTGAAGAGAATGGATATACCTTGTATGTATGATATGGACAGTGATGATCTTACAAGATTATAAAGCACAGTCTCTCCAGCAGTGTTCGAAGAATCTTGAACGAGACTGTACATGAAATATGTTAAAAAAAATACACACGCATCAGTCTACAAGATGAAAATACAGTCTGCAGACAGCAGAAGCAGTACAGAGGTATTAATTCCCAAAAAATCTCATTCCAACACCAGAAGCATTGTGCTATACTGTACTGTACTGTACTGTACCTGCTGCTCCAGTTCATGGCATCGTTGTATGGTCTCGTCTCTGCTCTGGGTGGCCGTCTCCAGCTGCTCCAGTATGGTCTTGATGTGTGGATGGAAGGAGGCAGGTCCCAGGTCTGGTCTACCCTCCCCATCCATTAACAAGATCCCCGGTGAACTTTCTCGTAGCATTAGCTCCTGGATGGCCTCCATTATCACCTTCTGCACCCTCTCTTCCATGTTCATGATGGCTTCAATGTACTCTGGAAATTATTAAATACTGGAGTCAGTACAGGCCACGAATCTTAATCAGTCATTATCAGAGAAAGACATTTCCTACAACATAAAAAAGTGTAATGTCAGACAGTGCACACTGCCCAAAAAACAGTGCCGTGTCCCATGCAGAATCTCTACCAAACATCTTAGTCATTTAAGTCCTTATTTTTCCTCATTCAGTGTGTTAATCACCTAAACAATATATGCTCTCCCCAACTTGGCACACTCAAATTAAGTCTTTACTGAGAGAGAAACCTGCTACTGTATTATACAGTACAGTATTAAGGTACAGTATACTATATTGTGAGCTTTGGATGAAATTCTACACATGTCACTTCGATGCCTAGCAGGAAATGGCATATTCACTAACAATCTACAGTAAAAGACTTAGTGTATTCAATGAAATGTACAATAGCAAAAACAACTGTCTGTGCAGGTGGGGGTCGATACGCTCCGAAATTTTACGTGTGACAAGTGACAGCCCTCATATACCAAAATTTATCGTCCACGGTCTCATATTGTTTCCAACAAAATATGCACAGATAGTTGTTTTAGCTACTGTACAATAGTTGTAAGAACTACAGTAGTTCTTTCTGTGATAAATATACACAAACTATTTTCTTAAATAAAAATCACAGGGAGAGAGATCATATATATACACCATGACATTCCATTGTGAAAAACTATGAAGACTATGTAAGCAACTGACAGTTTGGTAATGTTCTATCCCCTGAGGGCATACTCCAACAGTTACCTATTATCATCAACGCTTTACGGCCATTATCCACGCTTGCTTGGGTTAGCGGTAATCCCCCACCCCCTGCTCACCACCACAAACCTAGGGTGCCAGCCCAGAAAATGCAGCAGAAATCAGGGGATGGGCACAGCTCTAGTGACTTGGTTACCATAGAGAAATTAATCGATTCAAAACTTTCCTAAGTACAATAACAGAACTGAGGTGATAACATAAACAGCCTTTTCCTTTGAACAGGTGAGTTTAAATGTCAGTGTATGATAAGACAACATATATCCCTTTTTAACAAAATCTATTTTTTCATTTCCATTACTATCATTAAATATATATATAATATATAATATATATATATATAATATATATATATATATATATATATATATATATATATATATATATATATATATATATATACATAGACTAACCATATAAACATACACACAAAGTCATCAAATAAGTTTGTATGGAGAGGTGGGGGCTCAGATATATTGGATACAGAAGAGATTTGAAGTTCACTCCAAGTGAAAATGAACTCACTGACTGACCACAACCTATCTGAGCCCAGCTGACAGTCCCCCAGAGAAGTTTACATATATTTAATTCATGAAAATCAAATGTAAGCACATAAAACTCCCCAAGTATTCTCCTCGTTTAAACATCTTCCATCTGAGGGCTAACCTGTGCTCATAAGCCATAACCTGCCTCTAAGTGTGATTAGAAAAAATGTGTGTTGAAAGACAAATATGGAATATATGACATTAATTCAATACAGTATAAGGGTTTGGTGAAGGCATATATGTATAGTCGCCTGCACTTATACCTGGTACAGTGGCTGGAAGCATTGAATAGGGGTGGTGGTGGTGGTGGTGGTGGTGGTGGTGTTGGTGGTGGTGGTGGTGGTGGTGGTGGTGGTGGTGGTGGTGGTGGTGGTGGTGGTGGTGGTGGTGTGGTGGTGGTGGTGAGTGATGATGATGATGATGATGATGTGATTGATGATGATGATGATGATGATGATGATGATGATGATGATGATGATGATGATGATGATGATGATGATGATGATGATGATGATGATGAGCACACACACACACACACACAAGGTTGGGAAGAGAACACAGGGGGCTTGTTACTCACGCTGTTTGTTCTCGCAGTTAACAGCACAGCCGAGGAGGAGCTGCAGCATCTGACCCATCTCCATCTTGTCCCCATGTTCACCTGAAACAACAACCACTATTAACTGGTGTCCTGGAATTATTGTAAATCAGAAGTAATAACAACAACAACAACAACAATAACGTATTTCTAAAAACTGGGGACATCTTGTATTCTCATCAAGTCTCCATTAAAATACAACACAACACAGCACCGTATACGGATTATGAAAATGCATATAAATTTATACTCATACAATCACATTATCATACTGTGTGAATGCTTGGTATGTGCACAGCTTCATATTCTCCTCAGTTTCAAAACAAGCCACAGAAAGTGATTTGCCCCCACCTAATACTCTTCTTGGGCGAATTTCTGTATTGTAATAGTTTGCACTGAGTAGGTTACTGTGCGTATCACAGTACTAATCATTTTATCACCTCTTCGTGTTATTATTTTCCCCTTCAAGACCATTTACTTATTACTGTACTAAGCTATAAGTTTTAGTGTTTGTAGACCAAGATGTCAGGGGTAAAAATAAATAAATAAAAATAATAAATAATTAAATAAATAACAATGGACATAAAGTGGAGAACAAGACTACATACTTTCCTGTTTTGTTTTTCCCCCAGTTTGTGATGGGATAATATGACAGCATCTTAAAATATATGTCCACTAAACCATCTCACATAAATGTTTAAAATGGAACTTGAATGTATCATTTTGCATCCACACAAACCCCCTTCTCCTCGTCTTTACTATATCCACACAACACCTTCCCTCCTTCCACCATATCCACACCACACTCTTCCTTCCTACCTCCACCATACCCACCCCCACACCCTCCTCCACCATACCCACATCACACACTTCCTCCACCATACCGACACCACTTCCTACACCATACCCAACACTCACCACCAGGCTGAGGGGGAAGAGCACACCTGAATATACTCTAGGCTCCCACAGCTTATTTCACCTGAATATTAACCAGCCTAACGCTACTTTGGGGTGGGGAAGGTTAGGTTAATGTTACAGTGGTTAATGTTCTGAATTAACTGGGGGGAGGGAGGGTGAGCACAACAAGAATACTGACAAGACTTTAGGCAAACCATGCAAGTTACCCTGGCAGCTGGGAGCACCTAAAACAGGATCAAGAATACTGACACGATTTCCAGCAAAGGCGCTCAACAAAATTCTTCTCTCATGATCCTATTAAGGAGGCATTTATGTTACAACTTCTGCGTGTGTGTGTGTTTTTACGGTACACAGCCTAAGCCAAACAAACCACTCACTAAAAATTAATCGGCACCCTTTCGGCATGATACGAAATGACACGGGTGCCGAATATTTTTTTTTTTGTGGGTGTACGTGTAGATACAGAATACATTCCTCGTCAGCTGGCCGTAACTGTCGTGTTCCCACAACCCCCACACTGCCTCACCCCATGACCCTGACCTCCCACCAGTGTCAACCACAAACTGGAGCCCCTGCTGCTCAGTCTGAAAGAACCTCGTGTGCTAAATTGAGGGTGGTGGCTCAAGGCGATTGGTCGGCTGGTAGCTGCATGTACAAAGAGACATCGGTAATATTGAGGTTGTGACGAGCCTTGCCTATTGTGAACAGATTACATCGGCTCTTTGACTAACACATATCCGGTACATATTTATCTGGAGAAGAACTAAACTCGAGGATCAATTGGATTTGGTTTAGGTGTTATATAGTCAACATATCGTCTACAAGTTTAATATATAAACTGTACATATAGCCAAAATTATTAAAAAGGTGATAAGGAATTAGTCACTGAAAATCCATCACCCATACGAAGAAGTGTAACCAGTCAGGTCAGTATAAAAAGAGGATAATGAATAAATGCAAGAACACGACCCATCAATAATGTCAGGTAATTTGTAGTATAAAGTGCAATAAAATACGAACTGTTCCACGTTTTTCACTTCATAAACAAAACCTGGTATTGTAACTCGTAGCAACCAAGGCTCACGGGACATGACGAGTGGATGGAATTTCAACTGAGGGATAGAGAGTGATCAGCAGGAGTGAGGGTGGCGGAGGAACGTTTCTTTTTCCTCTGTGTGGGGGGAAATACCTGTGATAAATAGTGTTAACCTTGTTTTGGTGTTGGTGTGTGTGTGTGTGTCAGGTGAAGGCTTCCTCCCAACACCTCTCACTCTCTCTCCCACACATAGTGCATCATCATCAGCTTTTTCTACCCAGTTAACACTCTTCTTTTCCTCATTTTCTTATACGCCAACGTCGTCATCTCCTTGTTGCTGTTGCTTCTTCATATACGCCAGCAAGACCAAAGAATTTCTTCCACCCACGACGTTTTAACTTGGTCACACGTTACGTTACCTGTTTGAGCATTACACTAAAAGAAACACCGTCCGCCATAACACACAGCTAGCATCAACAAACCCAAGACTTCAACCTCAATTCAGGAGATGTAATAATCTTTCTACTCTGGGTAAGAAAGTACAGAGGATGACTACATAAAACTATACAATTTCAGGTCTTGGTGAGGTAAGGTGAGCCAGCAACAAGGGGCGGTCCGTGGACGCTTACGATACATGTGCAAAGCAGATAACGGGTCAAGGATTGTGGTGGGTATGACATCATCGAGGCCAGCGGAGAGTGATGTCATTCTCGCCCCTACACAGTACAGTACTACCCAAACAGTGGGGTACAAACAAACAAACAAACAAACAACACTCAGTTACGAAGCCTCACCCTCACAACCTAATAAAAAAATTAAATCTTTAAGCCTGAATTAACCCCAAGAAGAAGAATTCATTAACACGTTTTCTATGACCATAAAAAAAGGGTGATTTTTCTCCTGAGTTTAAAATCGTATGAAGTGAATTTCAAGCTAAATTTACAATCAATTTTAATTTTATTTTGTATGATGTCTTACCTTTACCAACACGACATTCTTGGGTTCAGTTAACAGTGTGGTAAATAAAATGAGTGTGTGGGAGGGAGGGAGGGAGGGAGGAGATGGCCCGCGGGCGTAGAGATGGTCAGTCTCTGTGGTGAGGGAGGGCTGGGTAGACCCGTGCCCTTCACTGTCCTTGTCCACCAACACCAGCACACTCCCTCCCTCCACCACCACAATCCCTTCCTCCCACCACCACAATCCCTCCCTCCCACAATCTGCCTCCACCCCCCTGTAATCCTCCTCCACCATCACAATCCCTCCCTCCCTATCCCATAATCCCTCCCTACCTCCACCACAATCCCTTTATCTCCTCCACCACCCACAATCCTCCTCACTCTGCATCTAATCCTCCCTCCCCTCCCTCCCTCCACCATCACAATCCCTCCCTCCACCACCCACAATCCCTCCCCTCCTCCACCACTGCAATCCCTCCCTCCTCCTGCCTCTGTGCCTCTCCACAGCACACACTTGATAGAGAGAGAGAGAGAGAGAGAGAACCTCCAGGTGCAGACCTTCAGACTCAGCCCTGTACTCTAGAGGGAGGACATTGAGTGCCTTTGTCCTGTAGATTAGCACAAGAGCTTTATCTTGCCGCCTGGACCATGCTTCCACTCAACGGATATATCCACTTGACCCACATTATCCACTTAAGCTATACATCTATCAGAAGCATATATCAATCAGAGGGATATATCCACATACATCCATCACCGGAACTATACATTCACCACATAACTACAGTACACACATCCACCACAACCACACACATCCACCAGAGCCAAAGCCTATAGAGATGTCGACAAGGTGGTAGGTGTTGTCGTCACGAGAGTTCAGGTTCAAACAGGTAAACAAAGTGCGCGCGCAGGACAAATCTCATTAGTCAATAGTGGGCGGGGCGGGGTAGATCATTGAATCAAATCAAACATCTCTGGCAGGGGAAATTGATAATGAATATATATACTATTGTTTGTTCTTTTAAGACTTAGTAGTGTATTTAGCTTCTCACACCACAGGTTATTCAAAGTAAATGCCACCTGTGATTTTCCCCAAGATGAGTTGGGGTATAAAGGTGTCAGGAGTATCATCTGGTTACTACTACTACTACTACTACTACTACTACTACTACTACTACTACTACTACTGGGGGCACCAAGACCCACTCCCCCGAATGTAGAAAAAACAATAACAACAAAAAAGTCACAAGCCTAACCATAAAAAAACTAACCTAAACCAGAAAAAACCTAACCTAACCCTACCCAAAATTAATCTAACGTAACCTAACCCCCAAAAAACTAACCTAACAACCCTCCCCAAAATAACCTAACAAAAAACCCTAACCTAACCCCAAAACTAACCTAACCTAACCACCTCTCTCTGTGTGGTACAAATACAAGTGAAAGTACGTATATACTGAGGCCCCGTGAACACCCCAGTCCGTCCGCTCATCAAGATCAACATGGATCACTCCTACTTGACGTGCATGACTTGGTGGTGAGCCAGACCACAAGAGTCAGGCAGGCAGGCACCAGCAGAGGGAGACCTGACCACCTGGGCACTACTATCATCGCTACTTATTTCATGTTATATGGGAATGGGGAGGAGGGGAAATGAAGGGGAGATGGAGGGAGGGGGAAGGGGGAGATGGGGGGAAGGGTGAGGGGATGAGGAGGTGGAAGGGAAGGAATGAGGAGGTGGAGAGGAGGGAATGAGGAGGTGGAGGGGAGGGAAAGAGGAGGTGCAAATGGAGGATGAGCCCCCTCTCTTCTGACCCCCACCAGCCCCCACCGACCCCCTCATGACTATATGTATGAGGGAACGGTCTTTCTCGTCGTAGGTGCTCTAAAGTGGTGCTATATGAACGATCAAAACATTAATATATCACGGGATTTTCACCCTTAAGGTCCATCCCAACATGATGTGTATATAAACTGTAATCACTCTCCTCCTCTTCTTCTTGCTCCTCCTCCTCCTCCTCCTCAGTACCCAGGCGCCACTCAGCAGGGGTTGTGGTCTGCTTGGTTGTTGTCATTCCTCGGCTGTAGCGTCTGTCTGTAGTGCAGGTAAGTATCGGTACCCAACCCAGCTATACCCGGTGTGAGGTGAGTAT